TCTTTGTTTTCTGTTCATTAACCACTCCTCAGTCCTTGCAATCCTCTGATGTCTAATTACATGTCACAACCTTGAAAAGATGACCTTCTAGAATATATAAAATTATTTATGGCGTGGAAAAGGTAAATGTAGAAAATGACTTCAAAGAAAGCTGTGTAAATGACATAGGTTCATCTGAGTCAAGGAAAAGTTTAGTACTAAACAAACAAATTGTCACTTAAGAATTAGCGTTACACAAAAAGACTTTTAGGATAAAGAATAAAGTTAAAATTGCTGTAACTAAGTTAAAACTTGAGCGTGCTGCATTGAGGGACTTTGGGGCATTTAGGAACTAAGTTTCTTGAATGGCCATTTATAATTACACTTTGTGTAGTTCACAAAGAACAAGGAGAGAGATCTTAAATCATCTTTTAAACTATATTCTGATGTCTACATTTCCTTAAAGTGGACTTGCTGGATTTTAAAATGGCTGCTATCAAATATAGAATGAGAAAATGCTTCCTGAAATTTCCAGCAATTACTAGGATAAAAGTGAACTCAGTACCGCCTGGAATGTTACACTCCTTGCATTATGTGGACATTCCAGTCAAGTAAAGGAATCATAGAAAAACAGAAATTGCTGGAGAAGCTCAGCAAGTTTGACAGCCTCTGTGGAGAGAAAGTTAATGTTTCAGGTCCAGTGACCCTTAGAAATTTCATTCAGAGAAGGAAATCCCTACAGTGCAGAAAGAGGCAGTTTGGCCCATCAAATCTGCATCAACCTTCTCACCCAAACTCAGCCCACTACCCTATCCCTGAAACCTGCATTTCCCATGGCTAATCTACCTATCCTCCACATCCATGGACATTGCGGACAATTTCGCAAAGCCAATCCATGTAACCTGCACATCTTTGGACTGTGGGAGGAAACCAAAGCACCGAGACACAGGGAGAACAGTCAAACTCCACACAGACAGTTACCCAAGGCTGGAATCAAACCTGGGTCACTGGCACTGTGAGCTGTAAATCAGCAGTGCTAACCACTGAGCCACCATAACCACCCTTTCTTTAGCAATTTCTGTTTTTCTTTCACATGGTCAGCATTCACGGTTTTTGTTTTATCAAAGGAATAGTAGATGAGGCATTTACCTTAGTCACTTCTAAACAAAGGAGACTATCAAAATCAATCATTGCTTTCCTTAATGCTAATGACTCTCAGTTACTTGCTGCAAAATACAATGGTTTCTGATGAGGAATATCAAACGTCAGCCTTCCTGCTCCTATGATGCTGCTTGGCCTGCTGTGTTCATCCAGCTCTACACCTTGTTATCTCAGATTTTCCAGCATCTGCAGTTCCTACTATCTCTGATCAAACCCACCTTGTTAGCTGGATGTCTCAAAGCCTCAGTCACATGACAGTATCAGCTGGTTTGTTTGAATCACTTTTAGTTATACAGTTTTTGACCTCTTCCATCAGTCTGCTTGTAACATCAAAACAGAACACATCTTAAGCAGCTTTAGACTTAGCTAAACCCCTGCCTCTAATCTCAGTCTTACTGAAAAGTCTTGATTTCTGGAAGAAATATATTTCGCCTGCAAAGTGATCAATTCAAATTTCAATTTCAAGTTCAACTACAGTTTAACTTTTACAAAAGGAGCATCTGTGCAAAGCTGACTGAACAAACTTCAAATGGACATTGACTTAGTAGTTCTCTACTTGACATGAACTAGTTCTGAAATCTTTGACGTTCAGTAATTTATAATTGCTAATATCTCCTTTTCTTTCTTGGCTTCATTTAAGGGGGAGACGATGGTCTAGTGGTATTATTGCTGGACTGTTAATCCAGAGACCCAGGTAATATTCTGGCGACCTGGGTTTGAATCCCACCATGGCAGATGGTGGAATTTGAATTCAATTAAAAATCTGGAATTAAGAGTCTAATGCTGACCATGAACCCATTGTTGATTGTCAGGAAAACCCATCTGATTCACTAGTGCCCTTTAGGGAAGGAATCTGCCATTCACACCTGGTCTGGCCTATATGTGATTCTAGACCAAAAACAATGAGATTGACACTGAATTGGCCTCTGGTTAATTAGGGATGGGTAATAAATACTCACCCAGCCAGCAATGCCCACATCCTGTGAATGAAAAAATTCAAAGTGTGTGTTGCAGATTATTCCCCTGGATTTCTGAATGCTGCAATAAATCCTATTTTGTGTTAACCCTAAATTATTTGCTATGGGTTGTTTATGCATTGGATGCCACAGGTAGGTTTGAAGAAACACACCACTGCTTTTTCTAACGGGAAAAAAAATAAAAAAAATCAAAAGCCACCTCTGTTTTGGACTGGAAAGAAGAACAGTGAAAATAACCAAACCTACCTCACCCTGTTGTCTGTGACACCTTGTAGGTGTCCATTCAATGAGTTGTTTAAACTTTAACTGCTCATCATACCAATTATATCTCAATATCGTTAGCAACTGTTATGTTACCAGTCCCAGATCCTGTCAGTTACAGACAGTGAGGCCAGATGGTTAAGACAGACATTCCATAGTTTGTCTACTTAATCCATCTGGGAACTACCCTTGAGCCCTAGTAAATGGGCCCCATTATGTTAAACTCTGATTTTGGATCGAATGGTGACCTTT